GGCAGCGGCCGTGCGCATGAAACGGCCCCTGTTACAAAACGGCTGTTAAACAGTAAAGGTGTGAAGGGGGGTCTAAAGTAGAGACAGTAATTAGGGGTGCTGGCGCGTGTCCGACTGGCCCTTTTGCAGTGTTTATAGACCACCTCAGCAGTGCTGGTGGCCACGGTAAAGTCTCTCTTATTTTTCTTGATTTATATATTTTCTTATTTATTTTTAGTGGCGGGAGAGATGATTAGAACATTCCGGATAATGATTTTTTTTTTTCCTCCCTGCCATCGCCTCTCCTCCCGGGGGGAGACTGTGTTTTCATTCCCTCGGCGCAGCCGTCAAACGGAGGTGCAAATTAAAACAACGGGAAAAAAAAGAGAGGCAAATATCACGCACATGCAAATTTAAATAAATCATACGAGCCGCATCAGCCCCCGGCTTCTCCTGACCCCGAGATCCGCAGACGCCGGGATCCGTGGCTCCGTCGTGCCCGGTCCTATCTGCACATTGATTTGCATTAAGGCGGCGGTCCTCAGCCCCCCCCAAAGTCACGGGAGATGGGGGCAGCCTGTCGAACCCGGCGCACTCTCACGTTCAGTGTTGGTGTGAAATAGTGATGATGGGGGGGGCAGAATGGAGAAAATGGTTAATCACCCAGATCGAGATACTTCCCCATTTAGCTGCTGAGTTAATGCGGTCACATTAACTGCGGATGCATCAATGTGCATTTGAATACATTCTGTTCAAACTGTACGTTTCTGCATTTATGGATTAGCTGCTGCATATTTCATTTCTCCCTAGTTAGTATTTCAGGATTACATTTTTTCTGGCCACCTGCCATTTGCCAGCATCATTAACATTTTTAGGTAATAGATCTAATCACCGCCGACCGAGGCTAATGTCACAAGGCGATCAGGTGACGGGTTCTCACTCGGGCAATTTCAGGACTGAATCCCACACAGATTCCGGCTGTCGCTGACCTTTCAGGCATGCGATTGGCTAACCCCACCCCCCCTCCCCCCACGCCAGCGAGCCGCACGTCACCTTCGGGGGGACGGGCCACGGAAGTAACATAGGTGGCCACTTCAGCGCTCCTCCGAAGGAGGCCAATTAAATTCCCATGCTTTTGGGACGCTTCCATCTGTGTGCAGCGCTTTCCTACGCTGCCACCTAAGGCTGCCTCGCCTCTCAGCCTGGCTCTGCCGCCTCTCCAACACCAACAGCGGCAGCGGTTACAAACAGGAAGGTTATCGAATGATTTCAGACCATTTAATTGCTAATACACAAAAATAACATTTTTCAGTTTAGCAGTATAAACGCCAAAAAATGGGGGTTGGTAATTCTTACAGCTATGTGTCGTTTTCGAGTCTTGTGGATATGCCACAGAAACACACACACGCACAGATTAAGAATCTATATCTTTATGGGGACTCTCCATTGATTTCTATGTGCAAAACCCTAATCCCAACAATGACAACCTTAAGCCCTACCCAGTCCCAACCTTAACCGTAAGTAACCAACCAAAATACAAGACTTTTGGCATTTTTATTATTTTTTATTTTTAAAAAACGGAGGTTATCCTTGTGTGGACCAAAACTGTTCCCACCATGTAAAAAGTTACAGGTTTTTATCACATTGAGGACAAATAAGGTCCCCACAATGTAATAATTACAAAAACACAAATAGAGACACACTAAACTAAGTGCTTGATCCTTTTCAGTCGCTCTCATGATTGTTAACCCACAACATTAGTTACATCTTGTTGCATTTTCTTTAACTGATTTAAAGAATTTCTAAGATTTTTTAAAAACCTTTGGCCTAACATATGCTCACACCAAGTATGAATCAGTGCAAAATATGTTGAAAGTTACACCCTTATCAAATTAATTTTCCACTCTGCTTCCACTTGTGTCTCTGTCTCTCATTGTGTTTTATGACTCTGTCTTGTGTATCTCTCTTCACAGCCTCCTCCAGTATCCCTGTACAGTGTCTGGATGACGTGGAGAGGAACAAGCAAATGCCACGCCCCCCAAGTGCCCCCCCAGTGCCCTCCAGTGCCGGCAGACCTTGCCCCCCCACGGGGCCCCCGCCGGTGGGGGGGGCTAACGAGTACACCTGGAAAGGAGTCTTCAGCTCCACCCCACCTGTTCCGGGCCCACCCCCGCAGTCCTCTGATTCCCTGGACATCAGCTCCTGGTCCTTCCCCACACCCCCTAAGCCCAGCGACGCCCTTTTCTGGGAGAACCCCTCGACCCCCCCTGCCGATATGGCACATGGGAGCCCTGGCACCGAGTGGCTCCGGCCCTATTGAGGGGCTGCACCCCCCCCCCAGGAGACCGCCTGCCCTGCTTCTCACTCCATGGCTGATCTCCCCCCCCCCCTGGTTCACCACCAGTGGGCGCTGGTTGTGGGTCACTATTTTACGGATCAGCAGGTCTCCTTTGGCAGGATTGCGTTTCCCGACCACTATGCAGCCCTGGCACAGTGAACTCCCGCCCAGGTCGGGCATGGGGCCGCCTTCCACGTCGCTTCCGGCCGTCGTTTCAGCCTAAGTCACCCTTCCGGACTCAGCTGTGGAGGAAGACCATCCTTTTGTGAGGACGAGCCAGTAACATGAAGGATGAACCGGGCTATCAATGGCACAGGATGGAGTGCAGTTCAGACCAAATGCAAGGAAGCATGGGAAATTATTTACCCCCGTGAAGCAGGTGGTCAGCTCCTCTTCCCCATTCTGACGCTTTTGCTTCACTGGGTCTGCACCCCGCCCCCCATCACCCCTCCCACTCCCTCTCACGTCGAGGTATCGCGCATGATACAAAGATGGCTGACTGCACACTCCTGTTTTCCAACACACGTGCACGTGCATTTTGGTCACATGACCGCACCTTGGTCACGGTCTGCTCTCACGCCAAGTCTCGCCATCCAGGCCGCGTCCATTTGGGATGTGCAATACACTTCTCTGCTAATGCCCATCCTTGCCAGCTTTCGTTTCTTTGCCGGGCTGCCATTTCAGCATGGTCGTCATGTGACTGGTGGTGATTCACCACCGCGCTCTTTCATTGGCTGCCTGGATGCGCTATGTCCTTCACCTTCAGTGGTTTTGGTTCTTCAGCAGGAGAAGTGTGGCCTCTTACCATGTAGAATAAAGAGTGTGGCAAGAGATCTGATACCGAGTTTAACGTTTCAAATTCGGAATCGGCGGCCGTGTAAATAAAGTTGGACGTCAGCAACCGTCCCCTGCGAAGTTGGGATTCGGGCTGTGAATTGCCGGATCCTCCTGCAGGAACCAGGACAGACAAGCATTTTATCATTATTGTTTTTTTTTTTTTTTGCTGTTCGGTCTGACAAAGGTTCCAGGAATGGTTGCCCAGGGCCACCTCCACATTCAGCAGGGCTTTGAGGAGAACCATGAGTGCAAGTCCACACGAAGATTATGATGTAGATACGCAGCAGAGACCAGCAAGCAGAAGGCTGGTGCCTTTGTTTAGTGATGTGAGGATCTAGATCCATTCTTTATCTGGAATCTGTAGCATTGTGCTATAGAGAGGACCATTCATAGCTGTAATATTCATCCGCATCCTTACAATCACACTACTGAGCATCTCTATACCAAGTCCCCTTTGTCTTCATACTGTTTTATCTGCATCTTAGCCACAAAATCGTGTGTAGTGTAGCTACCTCTCGACCTCTGTGACAATGTGTCCTGTATTTATTTATTTTTCATTTGAGCCTATGAGAAAACAAACCACATTTCTGGAAACAGACCGCGTCACTAAAACAGAATGTGATGTGTACAAGCTTTGTCCAAACGTCCGTCCAATTTGTCGGTCGTAGCCCCTCCTCCTTTTCAAGGCCTTTGCTTATTCGCACGTCAGTGCCCACAGGTTTCTGCAAAGCGCTTTGTGAAATAATTCGTTCATGTTAAATTCTCCTGGTTCTGTTTTCAAGGTTTTGTTCCAAGATTCCTGTCATGGTTACGTTTTTTTTTTTTTTTTATTACAGCAAAAGTTTGAAAACCAAAAATGCAATGTACAGTATGTATTGATTATATTTTAAGATTACTCCAGATGGCAAATACTGTTTGTAAATAATGTTGAGATTAAAAGAAAACCGTGAAAACTGTGTCGATATCCTGTCATTCCTATACAGTTTGGAGTTCATCTGTCATTTCTGTTCCAGCATTAAGAGGATAAGAATGGTTGTGATGTGTGTCTGTCCATATAGGCTACAATTAGCTATACTTCAGCTACTGAGCAGTAAGGTACTTTTTTTAATGGCGTTTTTGAAGGTTAGGGCTCGGGCCTGGATCATATGAAACCCCGACTGCCTGTATGCTCGCTTTGGGGGGGGAGGGTGACCATGCCTTCAGTGGCTCCCCCATGGCACCGACCCAGCCCCCCCCCGCAGGGACAGAAAGCGTTTGGTGTCCCTGAAGCAGCTGTACAGGCAGTCGGGTGGCGTATGATCACGGCCAGGCCCTTAAACCAGCCTCCATAGCCATTAGCGGCGAAGCGGACCCCACCCCCAGTCGGTGTGCATCAGCAAGCTGTCTCCGCAGACTCCTTCAACGGGGAGCAGCATGCCGGGGTGGGGGGGGGGGTGTGTAAGAGGGAGAACTTTTGTTTTGGCCGCACGTCACCAAAGGAAAGGAGCCCCCCTCCCCCAGTTGAGGCAGGAGGCGTTTGGCGCACGGTGCCGGGGAGCCTGCGATGGTGACGCCGGCGTTTCCCCGCCCGTAACGCACGGCGGCGGCGACCACAGCTTTCCTCACAGCGGCGTTTGGCGGCTCCCTGCGCGGACGCCCGTGGGCGAGGCGGCTGGGCGTGGGCTGGCGTGCGGAGGGGCTGCACGCCGCCTCATTGTCTCGCGTCCCCTTTCTGACAGCAGCTGATACCCAGCATGTCAGCAGCCCCCCCCGGGAAGGGGGAGGGGGAGTCGGACCCCAAATCTGCCTGGCAGGTAGGGCCGCCCGCATCAAAGCCCACCTGTTTCAGGCTCATGGTTTGTTTCCACTTTAGTGGGGAATCCCACCCCCCCAAAGCTCCCCCACCTCTGGGGTGGGGTCATGGGCAGCACAGAGGATTGGTTCCTGGTTCTTAAAACTCATCCCAGTATTTTATGTCAGCGCATATATCAAAATATACGGTAATTATCCTCCCCATGCATATATATGTAGCCTTTTATTAAATGAAATCTACAAATTCTCCAAAGGCGTAAGATATGATGCAGTCATTCGCTCACAGCGCTCATGTCTGTGAGGAAAAAAAAACACTGCTTTTTCAAAACGTATGAAACGTAGCTGGAGGTCAACCTGGAGTTTAACGCTTATCTGTGATGCCCTTCAGGTGCCGAGCCGTACACTCTGCTTGGTGGAAGGCCGGCAGGAGGCTGGAGGCTTTGGATTCGGCTGTCGGAAGAGACGCTGCTGTGGGTCTAGTGAGAAAAGATCTACTGTGGGAGACCCGGGTGCAAAATAAGGCTCTAACCACGATACTAATTTTCTGTTACCAGTTAGTGTATTTTTCTTGGGCCTCTGGGCAAAGGCGTCTTCTTGGCACTGATTGGTGTGTGTATTTATAATAACGACGCTGTTTTTTTTTGAGGACTGTGGTACCAGAGGCTTCATACATTTCACTAAAATACATGAGCAGGCTGATGATATCGAGTTTTCTCATTGTTCTTGGCCAAATAGGTGACAAAAGTCCTTTAACCAAGTCTGAATACCTGCTTTTTTTATACTTTTGGAACAAGAGACATATGCTAAGTAAGGGTTAAGTTTCTTTTCAGTTTAGATTTCAGGAGTTCATTGTGTCATTCCCCCGATTGAGAATGAATATCCACAATGGGGGTTTGGTAAGTTGTGTTTAGCATTGTAAGGTAAAAAGGTAGGAAATCAGTAGTGGAATTTAACTGTATTTCCCACCATAATTACCATGAGCAGCATCCACCCAAATGGCTTGTCTGCACATCCAACGCAATTCAGGCACTGGTGCCCACCCAACATACTGAAATGCCCATCCCAGGTTGGCATTCTGTAACGCCTCTGCCTTGGACCACGTCTGTCACACCTGTGGGAGCACGACTGTACAGAAGGTGGGTTCTCGTGTCTTGTTGATATCTGCATGGCTCCTGCTTGCCACGTCCTGCCCGTTATGACCTTTAAAGTACATCCAGCCCTACAAGCGGTCCTCCGACATGCAGGGAAAAATTTGGGGGTTGGTGGCAGGATTGGCACTCCAGCCACCGTAAAACCTTCACACAGTTCCGATGAAACAGACAGGACTCTTCTCTGCTCTCTTCCTGCCCACAGGAAGGCTGCACGCATCCTGAAGGGGGGGGGGGGACAGCCCTCAGGAGCCTGATCCCCGGACCGGCTGAAACCGCCACAGAGCCAATGGGGTTCGGGATCAGAACCGGGGTGGTGATGAGGGGTCTCATGCTGCAGGGCAGCACTCTGCTTCCAATCTGAGGTGGCCTATCTGGGCAGGTGTGTGGAACATCTTGTCTCTCCGGCATGATGCTGTCAGAGGAGCTTCGTAAACGCCGCATTTCGGTGTTGGCGCTCTCCGAGGTACGCAGACTGGGGATGGGTGTATTCAGGTATTAGACAAAAGTATTTTGGTTAGTGATCAAATTTTGTGATGCAGAAATGGAGACGCAAGCAGAAAACGTATTTATTATTTAACTTGTATAATTCCATCTGCTCAATCTCTTTTACTGCATTTCCGTGTAACTTTCATGTTAATGCCGGTGCTTGTGGTGAACCAGTCAGCAAGCTATGGCTAAGGTATGCTAAGTGCTTGCCCTGTAGGCCTACTTCGTGTCTGGACGAAAAGTACCGAGACACGATGATAGTCCCTGGTTCTGGAAAAAGGTTCTGGTTCGGGAGAAAGTTCCTGCGGTGTGAAAGCGCCTCTTCTGAAGCCCACAGCCCCCCCCATCTCCAACATTAGCTGCAAAGGCTGGCAGGAATGAAAGGCGCAGGATTCTGGTGAGGAACACAGGGAGCAGAACGTTCTGGAAAACACATGTGCTAGGTGTTACTTAGCTCCTACCCTGCAAAACTCTTTTAAGGTGCTTGAAAGTAGCTCTCAGCATTTAAGGTTGTGTTTTTATATCTGTATATTACCGCCCCTGTGTGCCTGCATGTTATTGGCTGGTGGAGAGTCTCAGGTAACTTCACCTAAAGATCTATTCAGGAATGTTAAGTATATATCCTTTTGGAAAGAGAAGTATCTCTAGCCTGGCCTTCCACCAAGAGGTATGGGTTCAGCTCCCGTCTCTATTTTGCATTTTTGCATGATCCTCCTGTATACATATGGGTTTCTCTTTTCCAAGTTGCAATCGACTCCGTATTCCAAAGACATATTCCCTGTGCCTCCAGGGTGCCCACTGCCTCATGCCCAGTGCATTCTGGGATAGGCTACAGGCTCACTCTCAGTCATCCTACAAAAACCTATGAAGAATGGGCAGAGTCAATGATGGATCCTTCTCCCAGATTCACTGCTACAAACCCGGCTGGGGGAGGTTCAGCTGTCTTCATTAAAAGTGTTACGTGTCAAAATTCCTTGCCAGCACTTGCCGTAGCATATTGACTAATGATGGAAAACAGTCAGCCTTTCCCAGTACCTGGGCCCCCATCCACACTGCCACCTCCCAAACCACAGACAAAGTGAGCAGCTCAGGTCAGGTCAGGTTGGGGAGCATGCACAAGATGAAACACGTCAGGATCCCAGTGGGCGACCCCCCCCAGGCCGACTCGTGGTGCAGTCCCACTCTCTGGAAGTGGCCGTCTGTCTGCCACAGCCAGGTGTTACGTAGGTGTCTCCTTGAGGTGGGTGTCCAATTGAGCAGATGGAATTATTTTTGTACCCAAGTTACATATAATGCATCAATAAATACATTTTCTGCTTGCGTCTCCATTTCTGCATCACAAAATTTGATCACTAACCAATATACTTTTGTCTAATACTTGAATACACTGCTGGGCCAAAAAAAAGTCACTGTTTGAATTTAAATCAGCAAATACTTACGAGTCAATGATTGGATCATTATTACACTCAGCAAGGTTATGCAGCAATCAAGTGAAGTCAGCTGAATTCCTGAATCTACTGAACACCCAAGTTATCCCTTCATTGGCTTTTTCCTTCCCTAACGGCATGGGGATATTCCAGGATGATTATGCCAAGATTCATCGGGCTCGAGTTGTCAAAGAGCGGTTCAGGCAGCATGAGGAATCATTTTCACACATGAATTGGCCACCACAGTCTTGACCTTAACCCCACTGAAAGTCTTTAAGATGTGCTGGGGAAGAGTTTACAGAGTGGTTCAACTCACCTATCATCGATAGAAGATCTTGACAAAAAATGAATGCAAATCTGGATGAAATAAAGTGTTGAGATGTTTCATAAGCACGTGGAAACAATGCACTGATGAATGTGCAGCATAATCAAAGCTAAAGGTGGAGAAATATTAAAGTGTGTTTTCTTGGCCAGGCACTGTATATAGCTCATTTTGTCTAATATCTGAAACTTGCCAGGGCTTATTAGTGGGATAACGTTACATCGTTCTTTATTCTGTGGAAAACAAAAGATCAGTCTGCTGGCCAGATTTAGTGAGGTTCAGGAACATTTACAGGTCATATAATTAAAATATAAATAAAAGGCTGTGTCCTGTTTTGATCACAATCGATCCCCCAAGTAATTAACAAATAACAAAACAACTTTTTATCCTCCACTGTTTTGGAGTGGCACTGCAGTTTCTATGAAATTATGTAAGTTTAACCTATAAACTTTTTGCATTTCCCATACTTATTTAGCATAAAGGTTCCAGTTCCTATTGTGTGGTGTGAAAGCAACACACAAGAGTGGCCTGGAGCTACAAAAGTCCCTGGTTGAGATGGCCCAGGAACCAAACCAGGAACAGGTTCCAGAATATCAGTGTGAAAGCAGCCATATTCATCCCAGGAATCAGGTCTGGGTGTCTCTACGGCAGGGCCCATGTCACATCTGCCCTCCCCCTTCCAAGGCACACAGGGCCCCTGCTGCACCCTGGGTGACCACCGAGTTGTAGTTGTTGTGCTTGAGCCTTTCGTTCGTGGGCGTGGTGTGTTCCCGTGCCTC